AGCCCCCTCCTCCCTCAGACCCAGGAGTCCAGACCCCCAGCCCCTCCTCCCTCAGACCCGGGAGTCCAGGCCCCCAACCCCCTCCTCCCTTAGACCCGGGAGTCCAGGCCCCCAGCCACCTCCTCCCTCAGATCCAGGAGCCCAGGCCCCCAGCCCCTCCTCCCCCAGACCCAGGAGTCCAGACCCCAGCCCCTCCCAGGGGTCTCCTGCCTCTAACACTCACACGGTCCAGACTCCAGCAATAGCCCAAAGGGCCAGGAAGGCAGGCAGCAGGGACAGGTAACCCCACATGCCAGGCTCTGCAGGGGAAGAAGAGGGACCACGAACCTTTCTCTCTGTCTCTCAGGTGAGGAACCTGCCCTAAGGGTCCAGGTGCATCAGAAGGTGGCCTCCAGCCTCTGAGCCCCTCAGGCTCTGAGGCCCACATTGGCTCCCATGGCAGAAACAGTGGGTGAGGGTCTGGTGTGATGAGGCCAGCTCTCAGCCTGGGGCACTTTCCCTCTTGTAACAGCTATCTTTCCATCCTGACCTCCCAGTTTTTCCAGGCTGGCCTCCCTCAACCCAGCTTCCGAGCCTCTCCCAGCCAGCCCTCCACTGCCAGCCTCTGGGCTTCCCTGGAGTGCTCACCTGTCCGAACTTTCTCCCTCTCGCTCTCCCAGTCCTGGTCCTGGGGCTGTGGGAGAGGTTGGAAAAGGAGGGGGGACGTGGGGCAGGGCTCGGGCGGTGTCGTGGCAAAGCCAAAGTCCAAGCTGCAGAGCAGTCTGACCGTCTGACCCTCTGACCCGCCGCTTTCTTCGGGACCTCACCCCCAAACCGCCACTTCCCCACTCAGAACCTAGCAGGCAGCCCCTTAGTTAGCTTCAAGGGGCCCCCAACTTCCTTCCTTCAGCTTTATAAGTTCAACGTCCAAGACCCCAGCCCTTCTCCTTACCAGGACCCAGATTCTGAGCCTCTAGCTCTCTCTACCCTTCCTCCCTTGGGGACCCAGCAGTCCAGACCCCCAGTCCCTTCTAGAATTCCTTTATTGGTTTCTAGCCCCTTGGCTCCAGCTTCCTAGCTCTTACCTCCTCTGGGGCCCCAGAAGCCAGGCCCACAGGTCAGACTCCTCTCTGGGTGCAGTTTCTGTCCTTAGGCTGCTGGGTATGGGCTATGGTGACCTGCTTCCTCCCGTCACTTGCCTTCCCTCTCCGTTCCTCCAGGCCAGCTGCTGGAATTCCCCAGTGGGCCCGCTCAGGGTGGGAAGGGAGACCTTGGTGTCGAAATCTAATTCCGATGAAACTCCCCTCTGAAAGCTATTGCTTCCTCTGCCCTGATCCTTTCTCTGTCCCACATAGCAACCCTCAACTTTCAGGTTTCCTTCCCTCTTGCTAATCAGGCATTTGGGTGCCTCCTCCTCCTGCTTCCCCTGGACCCAGGGGCCCAGACCCCCAGTCCCTCCTCCCTCAGACCCAGGAGCCCAGGCCCCCAGCCCCTCCTCCCTCAGACCCAGGAGCCCAGACCCCCAGCCCCTCCTCCCTCAGACCCAGGAGCCCAGACCCCCAGTCCTTCCTCCCTCAGACCCAGGAGTCCAGGCACCAACCTTCCTCCTTCAGACCCAGGAACCCAGACCCCCAGCCCATCCTCCCTCAGACCCAGGAGCCCAGACCCCCAGCCCCATCCTCCCTCGGACCTAGGAGTCCAGGCCCCCAGCCCCATCCTCCCTCAGGCCCAGGAGTCCAGACCCCCAGCCCCTCCTCCCTCAGACCCAGGAGCCAGACCCCCAGCCCCTCCTCCCTCAGACCCAGGAGTCCAGGCCCCCAGCCCCTCCTCCCTCAGAC